AGTAAATATTGAAAACCAGTATTTGTTGCTTTTAGGATGTTGATCCATTTCTGATAGGGAATTTAGTTGGTTGTTTTCCAGAGAGCACTGGGCTGTGTGCTTGGATGCCTGTCTGTGATAGTGTCATTGGTGAAACTTGGAGTGCAGTCCCCTTATGTAGCTGAGATCACAAAGGGAATTACTCAGAAGTGCAGAGTGGTTGGGACCACTAGGCACAGCTCTGGTTAGCTAACGGGAGTGGGGGGTGTGTGTGCCCCGGCCTCCTCCAGCTCAGCTCAGCCTGTCCCCTCGCTGGGGCCTTTTCTGGGCCCTCCTTTCTTGCAGTCTTTCCTGATGGGTGTGAGGGGTGAGCCAGGCTTCTTTATTTGGGTCTGAGTCTTCATTCTCAGCCTCACTCATCCTTGGAGGTCCAGGCGTGGCTGTGCTGTCTTTGGTGTACCTAGACCAGCAGCGTCCCAGGCATGCAGACGCCAGACAGCCTGGCCTATCTTTAGAGGCATCGGATGTGCCGAGAATGTGGTTTCACGTCTGCAGGCTGGGCCTTTGCTTAACAGCTGTGGGCTCCTCGCCAGGTCACAGCCTCTAAGCCTGTGACCTTAGCTATCATCACTGCTGCCCTCCCAACACTAGTGTGCGGGTGGGGATGCAGGGCTAGCTGAGTCCACAGGCCACAGTGGCCCCGAGCACTGCTGGCCTGGAGCCTTGGCTCTCTACTCAGTGGTCTCTAATTGGAAGGAAAATCAGTTTATCTTGTTGTTTACTTTCTAAGGAACCTGGTGGCTCAGTGGTTAAGTGCTTGGCCTCTAACGGGAAGGTTGGTGGTTCTAACTCACTTGTGGCTCTTTGAGAGTGAAGGCCTGGCTACCTGCTTCTATAAACCCCAGCCTCAGAACCTTCAAGTTCAAGGATGAGGTGGGTGCACTCCTGTTCTCTGATTCAGTGAGCAGTCCTGGTACTCTGGTAGGGTGATTCTGATGGGCTCGGAGCCTTCCCAGGAAGTCACCGTCACAGGGAACTCCATGAGAGCGTGGGGGCTGAGTGGCGCCCTAGATCCAGCATCAGTCTCTGATCTGCTTCCCTGGCTCAGGGCCATCACCATGCCCTCCTTAGGATCCTTGTCTTCCCTGTGTAGCATCAATCACTGACTTTGAACTTGACCCATTCTTACTTTCCGGGGCAATGTGGGCTGCTCCTGGGAGCCCAGAATCCTTCTTCCTGCCAGTGCATACAATCCTTTGAGCTGGTCCTGGAGAACAGTCGGTGGAGAAAGAGAAGTTGATTCTAGACAACGAGGAGGACAGGAGCAAATGCATGGAGCGATGCTGTGTCAGGCGAGATGGGAAGGAGCGGGCTGGACAGGTGTAGCAGGAAGGGCCCCAGGGTCGGGCTCTGGAGGCCAGACCTTGTCCTCTGACTGAGGAGGCATCCGGTGGATTAGCCTGCACACCTGCTAGTTCCATCTACAGGAGCTACTAGAACACAAGACCCAAAGAAAACACCAGTTTCCCCTGGAACTAGAGTTCAAGTGGGCAGGGGTGTGAGGTGTTATTTTCTCTTGGCGGTGGCCATGTAGGAGGGGCACTTGTTGGGAAGTCCCTTTGCAATTGTGGGGTCAACGTATTAGACGTGCACCCGGCATCCCTCAAGATATGTGGTGTACCTCTGTGCATGCAGGGCAACTGTGGGGTCAGCATGTTAGGACGTGCACCCGGCATCCCTCAATATGTGTGGTGTACCTTCGTGCATGCAGGGCACCTGTGGGTGGGGAGGTCCATCTGGGACTGTCTTTGCCCACATTGTTCCCCATGGCTTTTTTTTTTTGAGGGTGAAATAGTATGATAGATTTATTAGAAAGATATCCTCGATGGGATGGACCTCCCTCCCTGAAAGGAAATGTGGAGGGGAGGCCTCCACATTGCTTTTGAAGCCCACAGCTGTGTGCTCTGCTGTATGAGCATGTTGTTAGATGCCAGTTGAGTTTAATATGACTCATAATAATCCGTAAAAACAGATCTGAGCTCTACCCTATCCCGTGCCATTTTGACACATTTGAGTCCATTGTTGCAGACACTGTTTCAGTCCATTTCATTGAGGGTCTTCGTCTTCTTTGCTGACCCTTCACCTTTCCAAGCATAGTGTCCCTTTCCAAGGAATAGCCTTCCTAATAGCATATCCCAAAATACATGAGACAAAGCATCACCATCTTTGTCTACAAGGAGCAGCACTCTGGCTGCATTTTCTTCCTCTTCTTTTGATAGTCATGGGCTATGCTGTTCTTTTCTTCAGCACCGCAGCTCAGACGCATAGATTGTTCTCCTGTCGTCCACATTCATCAGCCAGCTCTCAGTTGCGTAGCAAGTAACTGGAAAGCCTGTAGCTTGAATCCTGTGTCCTTTAGTCTTTAAGCTGTCATGTTTTGGGTTTTTATTCAGTTATGCTTCATCTGTGTCACCACATCTGATGCCCATCGGACAGCCACTAGCAGTACCAGTGTGTCACTTTTTCACTTTTTCCTCAGTGCAGTCACCGGTGGTCTGACTTAAAGGGAGCGGAATCTGAAGAGCAGGCTGGACTGGAGGAGGTGTCTGGTCACTATGCTCAGGGACCATCGCTCCCGCAATGAGCGGACCTCCATGCTCCTGGGCCTGGGTCCAGGAGAAGCTTCAGGAGGACAGATTTGCACTGATAGGCATCTTTGTAATAGCATGAACTGTCCGCAGGGCGTACTTGTTCAGGGAGCTCATTGTGGCGCCCTGAGAGCACCTTCCCTCTGCCAGCCAGGAAGGGACATACAGATCAATAAGAGCAGTGCCCTCGGGGGCCCATTACTGCAGGTCAGTTTGTCCTTCAGTCCCCTCAGAGCAGTGCTGTGGAAGAGGGGCCATCGAGACCTGCAGGACGGGGTGATGTAAGGGCAGCACTTTACAAGAAGGTAGCAGACATGTTAGCAGTACGATGAGGAGAGAGCCAGGGAAGCATTCTAGGGAGAGGGAGAGGTGCACAGACGTATGTGGGGACAGTGCTGCAGGGACATTGTGGGTTAGGAAATGCTGGGACGGGGGGTGACAGGCAGAGTGAAGGGCAGGTGCACTGTGTTGGAGGGGCCGTTGTGGATGAGGAAATGCTGGGATGAGGGATGACAGGCAGGATGAGGGACATGTGTGTACTGTGTGAGGGATGAACTGAAGCCTAACATTCTGTCGAAGCAAGAAGATGAGATACTCGTGTGCCGAGTGACCATTTGGCAGGAATGTCCCAGGTCATCCTTGGATACCCCTTGGGGATTTGGCCTGGGAGACCCCTGGTGCTCCAGAGCCCTTTGACACCAGGACTTTTTGTCCACGTCTAAACAGGCAGTGAGCAGTGCAGGCGGGCACAGGCTGAGCCAGGTTCCAGTCCAGCACTGCCCCTTATCTGATATGTGGCCTTTCTGAGCAGGCCATCTGAATATGATCATCTCTCGTGCCAACGGGAAGAAGAGCAGATAGACATGTGTTCTAGTGCAATACTTGGCAAAGGACAGGCCCTGGGGCACAGGGTGCCTGCTGTGGTTATTCTAGTGAAAATGACTTTCTCAGGAGAGAGGTCCTTTCCATGGGGCTGTGGGGAAAGGTGAAGGGTGGACAAGGAGGCTGCCAACAGCGTGGTTTACCCCCAGGCCTGCTAAGAAGGGTGGCAGCTCCTCATCCACGCCCTGCTCGCTCTTTGTAAAGCCATCCTTTATAAAGCTGTGCCCTCTTACTGCCTAGAGCCTGGACTTGGGGTAGGGCACAGGTAAACCCTTCCAGGGTTTTGGACTGTTTTGCTCTGCTGCTAGCTGAGCTGCTGTCTGGAAGTGTGAGGAAGACCATCGTATAGTTTTCGTTCATTTCAGGTGACATCCAGTGGGACGTTATAGACATGTCCCCTCAGAGCATAGTGAGAAGTGCGCATGTTCAGGAATGCATCTTTTTCTGGTGTTTGTATGTCCTGTTGTCCCAGAGGGTTGGCTCCTGTTCAAGTGTACATCCTGTCTGGGTGGTGCTAGTGCACCTGTCCAGGTGTGCATCCTTTCCAGGCGGGGCTGGTGCACCTGCCCAGGTGTGCATCCTATCCAGGCGGGGCTGGTGCACCTGTCCAGGTGTGCATCCTATCCAGGCGGGGCTGGTGCACCTGTCCAGGTGTGCATCCTATCCAGGCGGGGCTGGTGCACCTGTCCAGGTGTGGATCCTATCCAGGTGGGGCTGGTGCAGCTGTCCAGGTGTACATCTCATCCAGGCAGGGCTAGTGCACCTGTTCAGGTGTACGTCCTGTCCAGTTGGGGCCAATGCTTCTGACTGAGGAGTCAGCGCGGCACTTGCTTCTCCTCCTTGAAGGCAGTCCTGAGACGTGGAGAGGGGTTGCCTCGTGGCTGTCGTGTGTCTCCCCACGTGTTCTCCTGGCCTGTCACCGGTCTCTGTTGATGGGAACTGGCTCTTGTAAAGCAGAACACAGAGGTCTTTCTGCCTGTTTGGCAGCTCCTGGACCCGTATACCTTCATGTCTGATGTTATGGGACATCCTTACTTAGACTCACTTACTTGCCATGAATTTGCCTGCCCTGGTGGCATTGTGCTAGTATCAGGATCCTAACTAAAAAGGCAGCAGTTCAGATCCACCAGCACCACCTCAGGAGACAGTTGCATAGTCTACTCCTTACAGATTTACAGTCTCCGAAGAGAGTTGCTGTGACCTGAAGCAGTTCAACAGCAGTGGTGTGGGTAGAACTTTTTAAATCAAAGGAACGAAGTTTTCTTCCAGGGAATACAAAGCAGACTTTTTTCCATTGAGACCTTCCAAAGACTAATATTTCCTGCAATTTTTATCCCCTGGAAGGAAACTTCGGGAAATGGCATCTGTGAGGTAAGAACTTCCATGTCCCCCACCACTGCTGTGCCATATGTAACTACCTGGTTCTGGTTTTTTGGGAGTAGTGTTTTCTATTTTTGTGTTTTCCCTCCCTCTCTTCTCTGTAGCCAGAAAATGGGTAAGAAGAGTCGAGTCAAAACTCAGAAGTCAGGCACAGGTGCGACAGCGACGGTGTCCCCGAAGGAGATCTTGAACCTCACCAGCGAGCTGCTGCAGAGTAAGTTGGTGTGGCTGCGTGTCGGCCTCCATGCAGTGTCTGTGTCTACACACGCTTGTCGTGTAGGTCGCTATCAGGTGGGGAGGCTTCACGCCTGTGTGTGTGTGTGTGTGTGTGGACTCTGGTGGGAAGTGTGGGGTCTCCCCGCCATTGTGTTTGTGGGCCACTGGTGGGAAGTGTGGTGTGGAGTGTCCACGCCTTTGTGCATGTATATCACGGTCCATGCTCTGCTTACTTCAGCTGTGGATGTCAAGGGTGGAGCCAGACACCCTTGCCTTCCAATCCCTGCCATGAACAGTGTGACCTGGACCAGTCTGAGAACTTGTAGCCCACCGTCCATCTCCCTGTGACCTCCTGTGGAGCTGTGGGTCCTGTGTGACTGCTGATGTCACTGTGTGACTGTAGTGAGGCCTGAAGAAAGCAAGGCGTGCAGAGCGTCTGCAGCATCCCTGCCTGGACCGCTCTTCCCTGACACTCTGGGTAGAGACTCGCTGTTCTGAGCAGGTGTGGCTCGGACAGATTCTTCACCTCCTGAGGCCACCCAGCCATTGTCACCCCAGAGGAAGCAGGGTATGAGAGGACATCTCATTTTACACAGTGTGCCTCCGGGGCAGGCCTTGTCCAGATTAGTCCCTGTTTCAAGATCTGCACGATTAGCAGTTAGCCAGGTCTTGGCTAAAGGCCTCTGTTTGCTGTGGTCAGTGTGATTGTTTGTTCTTGGCTGAGATGAAACTGGTGCTGTGAGACCTCACGTTTAGTGTGGTTACTCTGTGAGCTTCCTCCTGGCCTCCTCTTCACTGTGGGTTTAGCTCACGTGATGGGTTAAGTCAGATGGCACTGTCTTCCTCCTGTGCCCCAATCCTGATGGAAAGCAGGCCTCCCTGCCACCCTATGTGGCTATGGGTACTGTCCTGGCACTGCCCATGGGCAGGTCATGGGGTCCCTGCCTTTTCTTCCCTGCCCCCTGTGTCCTCTTCACTGTGTAGTCGAGGGCCAGTAAGTGTTGATAGAGAAAGAGGTGAGGCTGGTTGTCCTTGGCGGTGAAGAGTCAGTACCTAGCTAGTTACTGTTGGCTAAGTGAGCACACAGACTCTTGTCAAGAGCATGGAGGGGGCTAAAGTGGGCAGCTGCGAGGGCAAGAGCAGTATCGGCCACCCACCACTGAGAGTCTGGGCCCGCTCTGAGCATCCCAGATCCTGAGTGTTCCAACGGGGGCCATGCTGTCAGCTTCGGGAAGTGTTTGCATCATAACCTGGCCCTCTTGGAGCTCCTGGCCTGCTTATCGGAGCAGTGAGGACGAAGGGTCTCCCAGCCGCACCACGGTCCCGGGCCAGGGTCCCGGCTCCGTATCCACTGTCAGGTGGTGTCCTAGTGCTTCGGAAGTGCACTTGCCTTCCGTATCAGTCACGAGCAGGGCTGTGGCGGCTGCATGGGCCTTCTGGATACGGCTGGTGCCGTGGAGAGAAGCCGCGCTCACGTGTGGATCTTCCTTTCAGAATGCAGCAGCCCCGCCCCCGGCCCGGGAAAGGAGTGGGAAGAGTATGTACAGATCCGGGCTCTGGTGGAGAAGATACGGAAGAAGCAAAAAGGTACCGTTTTGGAGCCCTTCCCACCCCATGGGGACTCAGCAGCAGCTAGGCTGTGGAGAGCGCTGTCCCATCCGCAGGCGGGTCACTGGACCAGACACGGTGCTGGCACCTGCTCCCGAGAGATGGCGCCGCCGAAGAGTGTGTCTCTTAAGTCTCCGATAGCAAGCTTTGTTACACAGAACGTGCACAGGCCCACTTCCTTTTACTGTGCTTCGCCAGCTTGTTCTTCCCAGAGCCTGCGTTGTTTGCAAGGGGAAGGCTTTGAGCTGCTCTGTCAGGACCGTGCTCCAGGAGCACATGCTCACTGCGTGTCTCTGCTTCCCAGATCAGCTGTTCTCGCAGTATTTCAAACTTGGTCACGGTGTTACCGCCTCACAGTGTCAGCGTAACCTTAAAGTGCACTGTGGAACCAGGAGATTCATCAGATTTATTGCGGTTTAAAAGGTTTCTGTGCTGTCTGTTTCCCCAAGCTGTGTTTCCTGTAGGGTTTGAGGCCAGTCCGTGATGCTGTGTGTAGCAGCACAGACCTAGTATCTACAGGCTAGGACTTTGTGGGGCGCACACAGCTTACTCAGAGGTACCCCAACTAAGAGCAAGCCACCATTCTCTGTCTCACGTGGGGACTTTACAGGGTGCTCCCTGGGTGCTACATGGTCTGCATGACTACTCACCTGCAGGTTGGGGGTGTGCCGCTCTGCTTCCATGAGGATTCCACTGAGAAGTCCCCAAGAGCAGTGCTGCAGTGTAACTTGGGGCTTCCACAGGTTAGAGACGACTCAGTGGCAGCAGCAGGTTTAGGTTTCCCACCCTCAGTGGGTTCCAGTGATTCCCAGCCAGGCTGCCAGTGGGACTGCCCGATGCTGGGCCTCCATTCGAGGGCGCTTGCTGGTACCTGTAGCTTGTGTTCTGTGAGGCACCACCGTTAGGTGGGTGTGCAGGGCGCACTGGAGGTGGGAGGAGGAGTGCTGTGAGGGGCCTGCTGGTTTTCTAGACGTCCTTTTTATTATCCTGTAAGGCAGGCAGAGTGGAATTTGTTTCTCATGTGTTAGCTTTCTATCGCCTGGCGAACAGGCCTTTAAACTATACTCTTTTTAGGCTGGGTGGTCTCAGAGCCCCATGTGGTCAGCAAGACACTCCTGTATGATGGACATTTGCTCTGATGGGCCTGGAAGGTGTGCACTGTGCTAATCCTGCTTCCTGAAACAGGAAGCCAGAGAAGCTGCTCTGTGCAGGTGTCACTTCCCGGCGAGCGCTGTCTGTAAATCAGCACTAGGGCGAGGCCATCACGCTCATTCCCTAGTTCCCAGGGAGGGGAGGTGGGGCCCGCCACTTAGAGTGTTCCTGAAGTAGTGGCTTTCTTCCTTCAGCAGGGTCCTTTGCTGCCCACCTGGCACAGCTGCTGGGCACTCCCTGGTCGCTAGAGGAATACTGGCCCAGTGCAGGGTGGGACCCCCTGGGGGCTGTTAGGAGAGCTCTCCTCCTTTCACCTCTGAAGCCTCGACCTTTCCACCTCATGACCTGACACAGTCAGCACCCTGCTTCCTTTTGTCACTAGTACTAGAACTGCTGCCTGTCGCTGACGAGTTTTAGGATATGCTCTTCCTCTTTGGTCCCTAGTGCGGGTCCGGGCTGTGACGATCCAGGGATTCATCTGAACTCTCGTTTCCAGGTTGGATTGCTAGGACCGTCACTGGTCTTAGACAGGAACTGCCTTTTCTGCTGAGCGCCGTTTGTGTGGTTCTAATAGTGCTTCTTTTCTGAAACGTGTATTGATGCAGGTCTGTCTGTGACCTTTGACGGAAAAAGAGAAGATTACTTTCCTGACCTAATGAGATGGGCCTCAGAACACGGAGCATCTGGGGAAGGTTTTGAAATGGCCAACTTCAAAGAGGAGGGCTTTGGTTTAAGAGCAACAAGAGACATCAAGGTGAGCTGTGATGTGCTGATGAGAGCGTCCACGTGTGTGGGCATGGGGAGACCTTGCTGGGGGACAGCCTGGGGTGTGCCGTGCGGACAGCCTGGGGTGTGCCGTGCGGACAGCCTGGTGTGTGCGGGCAGCCTGGTGTGTGTGGACAGCCTGGGCCGTGTGGACAGCCTGGGGTGTGTGGACAGCCTGGTGTGTGTGGACAGCCTGGGCCGTGCGGACAGCCTCCACCTCCTTCATGATTTGGCAGCTTCGGGGTCTCGGCCTCACAGGCTCTGAGATGTAGCTAAAAGACCAGGATGCAGATTCTAGGGAGAGTTCCTGGGAGACGTGGGGTGGGGAGCTGTGTCAAGGATGCTCTCCAACCTCCTGGACCTAATGGCCGAGTGTCTGGAGGTACTGTTTTACCCAAATGCAGCGTCCACAGTGGCGAGGGGAGGAGGAGAGAGGCACAGGCCTGACAGGCGAGGCGGACATCCCAGCCTCTCCCCGCATTGCCTTTCTTCTGGGAGGAGGAGTCACTTGAAGGTGCGAGGGAACTGGGCTCTGCTCTCAGGTCTGACTGCCCATGTCCACTGTTCTGCATGCCCCACTCCTGGAGGTTTACAGGGGGCCTAGGTGGGTGCCCCATTCGTGTCTGTAACTGGGTGGGGACAGTGATCTCATTGTGGGGTGACTAATGCTTGCCTAATCCGTCTCAGTTCAGCATTTGAATGGAAGGAGTGGGTGTGATTTTTGGACCCCCTCAGATCTTCAGCAATGTTTGCGGTCAAGTTGTACTAACTTTTCTTGATATAGTATTATTAGACACCTACTAAATAGCGTACAATACTTGTTTGGTATTTTTTTTTTTTAATCATGCTTGCTATTACACCAGACTTCCAATAAAGGAAAACAGGGTCCCTTCCTTCATGGCAGGCACGCTGGTGATACTGTTGTTAAAGCATCAGCCACTCACCAGAAGGTAATGGGTTAGTGGTGTACATTCCCCAGCTGTTGCCTTGGAACAAGGTGCGGCAGCCTGCTCCACAGAGGTTTATAACCTTGGAAACCTGTGGGCACTCTTAGTCTGTACGGTAGGGTCGCTGGGAGTCGGAGTCGACTTGGCAGTGGGTTTGGTTATTGGGTTGGATTGTCGTGTTGTTTGGCATTGAGGTAGGGACATTATGCATGCGTTGATCGAAATCCTAGACAAGGCAGAACGCTTGTTGGCCAGATGCCTCCTGCTCTCTGATCATAGCAGCGAGAGCTGCCTGGAAGCACTGGGCATGTGGGAGCGGTCCACAGGGCCTTAGCTGAGGTCTGGCTTCACTGTGAGTTCACTCAGCAGCATAGATGCTCAGGTAAGAGGATACATGGAAGAGCAGTACCACCTTTTGCTGAAAAAATGAGGTGGTGCTTTGAACAAAAAGGAAAAACATCTTGGCCTTTTGCCAGTAACTGTGTTTTCAAGAAATTATGGATGGGAAAGAATACCTCCTAGCTTTAAAAAGGTAGTTTTTATGTACTCATAGGTTGGAACCTGTTCCTAGCTGACCCCTCAAGGTTTTCAAGAGGCTGTAAGCTGCACAGGAGTGTGCCCTTCTTCCCCTGGACCCTGGGGTCTCCTGGGGAATGGAATTGCCTCTCCGTGGGTTGGCGGGACATTCCTTATCTGTAAGTCACCAGGAGTTGGAGCAGTTCCCCTCAATTTAGGCTTTTGTCAGGGGCCAAATGTTTTCTTTCTGGACCTTAATGTTTGTACTTACAACTTCCGGTCACTTTACTTCTAGTTAACGTTGAAAGTCCCGGGGCTCATCCTTTGCATTCACAACTGTTTTTCTACTGGAAACAGGATTTTTAAAAATGCACTTGCTCAGTGAATCAGGAGGTTGCGTTGTCAGATATTTGATGTTCTGATCACAGATTAACATTGTATATAATATTTGACCATAAACATGGACTGAAGTTTTAACATCTTTTTATGATACTTCTGTTTTCTTATTTTTCCCTAGGCAGAAGAATTATTTTTATGGGTTCCACGAAAATTACTTATGACTGTTGAATCTGCTAAAAATTCAGTGTTGGGTGAGAATAATTTCTGACTGTTCGTTCAAGGCAAAGTACAAGTGGCAAAAAGCATAAGCCAGACTTCGTTTTGTGACACTAACGGTTGTGTTTGGGTGTTAGTCTAAACTGATGCAGTATCCCCTAAATCCACGTTAAATGTCTTTTGTAAGAAATTGTTACAAGTCTGAGCAAAGGGTCGAAAGAGAGATGTTGAGTGTTTTAAATGTCATAGGACTTTTCAGCTATTTTCTGTAACTGTAAGATATATTTTGATTGACTGACTTTTAAAGATGTTTGTGGAACTTACGCTGTTAACTTCTGGGTTAATTCAGGGCCCTTATATTCTCAAGACCGAATTCTTCAAGCCATGGGAAATATCACACTGGCCTTTCATCTGCTGTGTGAGAGGGCCAACCCTAACTCTTTCTGGCAGCCCTACATCCAGACCCTGCCCAGCGAGTATGACACTCCTCTCTACTTTGAGGAAGATGAAGTTCGGTATCTTCAGTCCACACAAGCCATCCACGATGTCTTCAGCCAGTACAAAAACACAGCCCGGCAGTACGCCTACTTCTATAAGGTGATCCAGGTAAGCCGCCCGCCTGTGTCTGTTCACACAGGAGTGTGTGGAGCCGGGAGGTGAGGCCAGAGCCAGTGTGTGGTGGGACATGGTTAGAGACGCTCAGATATTTTTAGTTTCAAATTAAATCAATACATGCAAGTGCAGCCTTTCTTCACTGACACACCAATGAAACACTGTTTAAATATAATACCTGACTTCACCAGGCACCTCTATAAGATACACAGCAGAAATTCCTCAGTAAGTTTTCCTGAAAACTGAAGAGGTTCTGTAGGTGAGCTTTCTGAGAAATGAAAGTCTGTTTTTGGGTACTTTGTGTGTGCCTGTATACATTAGTATTAAAATGTAGTCATTTACTGAATTACAATGCTTGATGGGTTTTTTCTGTATTGCTTTTAGTTGCTTTATGTAAGTTAAGAGGGTCAGGATAAGTGTCAGTACAGTGTGAACACGGGGCACTAGGGCTGGCTGCCCCTCTTAGAGTGTGTGAACATGGCGTAGAAGTTACACTCACCGCCGTCAAGGCTATTCTGATGCCTAGCTGCCCTCCATCGTGTCCAGGGCTATGAATCTCGTTTCGTTTTTTGTCAAATTTAGTAAAATAAGTGAAAAAGGTTTATTAAGGTAATGCAAAGGAGGCATGCTCGTAAAAGATAAAGATAGACACTGTGAAAGAGTTACGGGAGCAGTGAGGGGGACGCCCCTTGAAATTCAGGGGTGAACCCAAACCTTTTGTCAGGTAGCCAGCGGGGAGCTATCAATCCTAGCGGGAGGCAACTGCCCCTTCCTCCTGAGGAGCTCTGGGGGGTTGACACTGCAGGATCAGCCATTTGGTTGTCAGTGCAACACTCTGGACAAAGCAGAGCTCACTGGGTTCTGCGGTCTGTTCTAAAGGAGGCCCGGTGGCCGGGCGTGTAATGTCCTGGACTGCTAACTGGTCGCTCGGTGAGACACCTGAGCAGTCTCCTCTTGCAGAGACTTGCGGCTCTTGGACACCTGGGGAAGGGTCGCTGTGAGTTGGTGGCATTGACTTCGGGGTGTGTTTTTGGTAGTCTGATAAGCGTTAGCATTATGGAGACGTTTGAGGTGTTGTGGGAGTGAACACCTGTGACACTGAGACACGTTGTGAGCACGTCTTCTTGCTCCAGTCGCGGTTGCCACAGGCCTTCAGTTTGTCAGAGCCACACTGTGTTGAAGCACAATCAGTGCGTCTGCCTGTCCTCAGGCTGCACGTGGCTGTCCATGAGGGCGCCTGGCCCGGCCAGGATTTCTTATGGGACGTGGCCTTCATTCATGTTCATTCCCCCAGATGCCCCAGCTCTCGTCACGCTGTGATTGCAGAACTGTGCAGTGCAGGGACTTGGCAGCCAGGCTTCTGTCTGGGCCTCCAGTGTTCCACCTAGACCAACGGGCCTGTTATTCCCTCTGTTCTTGTTTTCCTAAACCCTGAACTTTCGGAAGCTGTTCGGCATTGCATAATATGGGTAGCTGTTAATGCGATTTGATGGGATTTTAAAAAATAACTGACAGTGGAATCGAACGTAGAGTTTCATTTAATGTGCATCTGTGATCCTGGATTTGAAACGGGCAGCTTTAGTGACCTTGAAATCAAGCCAATTCCACTGCGGCAAGTCCACTATGTGCCCGTGGGCCCTGGAGGCCTGTCAGAACGGCCTGGCTTCCTCAGGCTTTCCATTTTATGGAAGCTGGCTGCCATCTCTTGCTCCTGAGAAAGAAAGTTCAAACTGCTGGCGGCCCCCCCAGCGCTCCGACCGGCCTGGCAGGGGTTGGTTTCTACTCTCAGGGCTCAGTTGGACATATTTTTTTTTTAATTTTTTTTTTTTTATATTACTCTGTTTTATTTACAAAGTTTGAAAGACACTTTTTCACAAAAGATCCCTCGCATTTCCTTCACCCCACCCACCCCTGGAATTGTAGTTGCACATTTAAAATGACTGTAGAGAAAGCTGCCTCCCTAGGTCTGAAGGAGCCCTGAAGGCATAGTGTATTACATGGGGGACAGCTAACAGAACGGTCAGCGGCTCCAGTCCACCAGCTCTGGGGACCCGGAGGCTCACCATCGGTCAGGACTTGGGCAGCGGGCTTGGCTTCGGCGTCCGCGTCAGAGCCTGTCGTTTTGCCCGGCACTCAGGAGGACTCCTCCGTAAGCTCCTCCGGGGCGGAGCTGCCTTGGCTAGATCCCCACAGGGCTCCTGTCTGCTGTTGGTTGGTGGGTGTAGTGGTGATGGTGGTTCTTGGGGAACTGACCTGCCCTGATCTCGATAGTTCATCTTCACTGGCCAGCTTACTTCAGGGTTAACTCAGCAACGAGGATTTTGCTTCAAGTGGAAGGAATTTTAAATTCCTGTAAGTTGCTCAAATACCGTCCTCAGGAAAATGGACCAGTTGATGTCAGTCTGTTCAGAGCAGAAACAGCCTCTCAGATGCTGTTCAGGTGACTCACTTTATCACATTCTGTGTTGTTGTTGTTGTGTATCATAGAGTCGGATCCAGCCACAGCTGACCCTCCAGGGGGTTTCAGAGGCACCTGATTGCACAGGAGGAGATCGCTCATCCTTCTCCCGCAGAGCAGCTGGTGGCCTTGAGCTAAGTGCCTTCAAGATTGCAGTGTGGCTTCTTGCCACTTAGGCTACCAGAGCTCCCCCCAATTCTGTGTGGTCAGTGATATTATTGTGGATAGCTCATGAAGTAGAGAACATTCTAGAAATACACTGTTAATTGACAAGTTTTCCAGGAGCTTAACAATTGCCATGTGGGTAAGAGCAGTTTGTAGAACTGATTATGAATACAGATATCTTTTCTAAAAAAGTAAAAACAACTCATATAACCATGTTCTTAAAACATTAATACCCTTATCTTTTTAGAGCAAATATTCCTTTTTATTGAAAATTTTAATTCATAAATGTGAGAGCAAAGTATGTATGACTGTGGAATGAGCAGATTATCCTGTGTTGACTTTTATTGCCCAGTGAAGCCAGCCTGCGGATTAGAGGCCATCAGGTGGGTGGTGCTGGCTCCTGTCAGACCCTCTGCCCAGCAGGAGAGTGGTCAGTGGCCACACCAGTGCTTTCTTCCTGTCACTGATTCTAGAGGCAGCTTTTGCCCCTCACTGGCCTCTGGAGGTGGCTGGGACTTTATTGTTAGAAACGAGTGTGATGGGTGCGGTGTGGGCACAGTACAGGCCACAGGCTGGGGTGCCGCAGACCACATGGCAGCAGTGCTGAGCCTTAGGTGATGGTACGGCACCTCAGGTGGCAACATGGGTCTAGATGGCACGACAGCCCCTCAGGTGGTAGCACGGTGTCTCCTGCTGTAGTGGTGTCAGGCCTGTCCTGGTTGAGAGGCCCTTGGCCAGCTGTTTGAAGGCCTCATCGTGGTAGTTGAGCCCAGACCCCTTCTGTGAGGGTCATGTGCTGTCGTTGGAAATAAGGACTCTTGAAACAATTTCTTGATCTCTGTACAAATATCTATATTTTAAAAAAACCCAGAGCACCTGCAAGTGTAAGCCTGGTGCTGGGGGTGTCGGTCTTGCTGAGGATGTGAACACGGGACAGAGGCTGAGAGCGTGAGGCAGGTGTCACAGAACAGGGCACGTGGGGTGATGACAGCAGGTTGGCAGGCCGAGGGGCTGAGGTGTTCAAGTGAAGCCGTAGGGGAGTGAGTCCCTGGAGAGCTTATGGTTAAGACTGACCGCTGGCCCGAAGGCTGAGGCTTCGGACCTCCCAGGAGAACGCCTCATAAGAAAAGCCAGCACTGCTTCTGACCGAAAGGTCTTGAAAACCCTGCGGAACAGAGCCACGTCTTGTCTCCGTCTCTGACAGTTGTGACCTGTGATGTGGGGGTGTGGCTTTGTGTTCCCGCTTGTTTTCTGATCTGTCAAATCGGGGCACTGAGGCTTCTTATCACGGGGGCTCACTGTCCTGCCACGTCCCTATGGTTGGGGACAGCTTGATGGCAGTGTGTTTGGTGTGACGGGAGCAGGAGGGTAGGTAAGAACAAAGGCAGTGTGTTTGTTGTGATCTACCCTCCTGCTCCTGTGTGGCCCCTTGTCTCAGGGCTTGTGCTCTGCATGTGCTTTTGGCTTTGACAGGGGCCTTTCCGTGCTCCGTATGCAGACGTCCACATCCCTGCAGCTGACGTAGCCGGAAGGTTCAGCCTCTGGTCCTGTTGAGCGGCCTTTGTAATAAAGACAGTGGGGCACCTGCTGGCGAGATTTGATATTGCAGCTCCGTGCTTGGAGGAAGTCCGCACCCCAGTCCAGAGGCTGAGCTTAGACTCCGAGGGGCTCAGCCAAGTGCGGGGGAAGGGTGAGACCCCAAGTGGAGTGCGCTGCAGCCACCGGCCTCAAGCTGCCACTGAGTCACGGGGCCAGGACTGCCCTGAGGGTTTCCAAGCTGTGGAACTCTGGGAAGTCACTACCTGACTGTTTCTTCTGCAGAGCAGTGGGTGGGTTCGAACCGCTGGCCTTTGATGAGTCACTGAACGCATTAATCACTGCACCACCAGGTCTTTGTAGTTTTGTGATGAAGGACCAGGGAAGAAGAGGTGTGTTGCAGAAAGTGCCACTTGGCTTTGTAAACTCACCTTTGAAGTGCAGTTGTCCCCCAGAAAGTATGTGTGATGGCGTGTGTGTGCTCGGGCATGTGCATGGGGGGTGGTTCCAGGGTTCCTGTGAGTGGAACATCTGAGGATGACCAAGTCCCTGATGGATGACATGGCAGTGTTTGCAGACAGCCTGTCACGGCCTCTCCATCCCCGAAATGATCTTTGGATTATCAAGAGCAGCTGACCCCTGAAGGCCGTGCACTGACTGGCTGCAGCAGCGGGCTTGCGGAGGTCCCAGGGGAGGGCAGGTGTCTGCCTGCACCCTAGGGAGTGAACAAAAGGCTAGATGGACATGATGGCGGCAGCAGTGGGCCCCACGTGTGAGAGAAATGGTGAGGATGGCATCGGCCAGGATGTGGTTCTCATCTGCTGTCATAGGGTCA